CATCTCTAGTTTCACGCTAACAACTTCAACTGACCTGACCGATTGGTACTCATCCTAAGCTAAGTCAACGTTAGCTGAGTAGTACATTGTTTGTAACGTGGGTGTTTAGCCCTTTTTATTCAAGTATTTACTGCTTTGCCGATTTCATTCACACAACCACCTTCCCACCCATTCTGAAGCCAGTACGCCTGCCACCACGCCGACTTGTCCCTTTGACAATTAAAGCCATGGTAAATAAGCAGGGTGTGTAAATAGCCTTACTTATCCATCTACTTTCCTTATTTGTGCACCATTTATTTTCCACGTTTTTTCCCATTTTTCGCTCCAAATATATCTTTCCTTTTCTGTTTAATTTTTTATGCCACTATTTATTTCCATTCATAATCATATGTTACATTAAATAAATATATGTTTTAGTGCGCATATGTGTGATGCTTTTGAACAAGTGCAACATCAAAAAATAACGGCTTAACCCAAATTAATAAAAGTTCAAAAAATTGGTGCACCTGAAAACGATGAAATTAAGACCAAGTGTAAATTGTTAAAATGAACTGCATTGACGTGTTGATTGGTTGATACAAGGGCAGCATCTGTACACAGATGTACAAATAGCATCAGTGGTGGGCAAGCCTTCTTCATTGACGGAGCGCAGTTTCTGCCTTCTCTCCTGCTTTCTTGTTGTGTTCTTTGTGACTTAGGCTTTTGACGAACCAAGTTAGACAATGTCGGGTCGTGGTAAGGGTGGAAAAGGGCTTGGAAAGGGAGGAGCCAAGCGTCACAGGAAGGTGTTGCGTGACAATATTCAGGGCATCACGAAGCCCGCCATCCGGCGTCTGGCACGTCGAGGTGGCGTAAAACGCATCTCTGGGCTCATCTACGAGGAGACCCGAGGTGTGCTCAAAGTCTTCCTGGAGAACGTCATCCGTGACGCCGTCACGTACACCGAGCACGCGAAGCGCAAGACCGTCACTGCCATGGACGTGGTGTATGCTCTTAAACGCCAGGGTCGTACCCTCTACGGCTTTGGCGGTTAGGCTGCATCGTAGCCGATGGGTGGACAGATGGCGAGATTGTGGCGGATGTTGTGTGAACGCTCCAACGGCCCTGTTTAGGGCCACTTTCAATACTACACTGCAGATTGTATTCGTGTTTACTCATAGCTGAGGGAGGGTTGGGAGTTAACACCACGCCAGTGTGTGGCTGTGGGTTTCAGACGCGTGGGTGGGTGGATGGATGGAGGGGTAGGGTTGGGTATTTGTCTGCTTACTTCCGGCGTTATCTTGCTGTACTGCTCTCCTCGTCACGTCAATTGGCGCTTTTGATGTCCGCAAGTCTTCGCCTCTGTGCGCGTCCGTACGCCTGTTGGGTGCAAGTCAGCGTGCCGACGTTTGTAATGGTAATAGAAAATGAGGAAAGTGGCAACAATAGACAGGAGAATGGGCAATTGACTGGTCGTGTTAGAGGTGGTCTGTTGTTCTCTTGCGGGCCGGATGGCGCATATGGCGTCGGTGGTGGTACGCTTAGCATTGGCCGTTGTTGGTTTGGTGGTAATGGTGAAAGCTGGTGAGGTTCGAGGTACTAGTGGGGCGCCAGCAGATGAACGGAAGTAGATGAAAGCATGACTGTACTCTGGTAAGGTTCACGCGTTTGCGCACACAATTGAGTGGTGAAACAGTGGTAGAGGGCTCGTTGGTTGCCTAATTAGAAAAGATTGCGTGTGTTGAGTGTCAGTGGCGTATCAAAGAGTTGGAGAAGGCGGATATTCCACTCTCTTCGTCACCCCTACGGTACGCTGCGCCAGAGTACGAAAAGTCGCGTTATTTTGAACTAAGCTACAGCAAACTGGAACAGTCCAAACTACTCAACAGTACTCCAGGCCTTCCGATGAAAATCAAGACTTCATTTGGGCATCGGTAGACATTATGGGCGATGCAATATCAACGCAAAGCTATCAAGGAAAGTAGTTCCATTAAAAAAAGTAGTGCAAGTAGATAAACAAAACTTTCCAGCTAGGGTCCGAGCAGCCCGGCTCAAGCTGATTTCTCACAAGCACGACTTGCCCAGTGAGAGACAGAGATGGGTAGAAAACAGTGCGCATAACTCTCCTGCCATGAGCACCCACTCTGCCACCGCCTGGCGAAAATGACGTACGAGCGCATGCGAGATACGGAAGGAAAGCACCGGACTCCGTTCAAACCCCAGTCATAATTCTGCAC